AGTTGGTGCCTGCCCAGCCAGCTTCTCCCTGTGGCCCTGTCTTGCGCCATTGCGGTTGGGTGCAGTCAGCGCTTTCAGTGCCAGGCCATGCACAGATGCTCCCTTTTGGGTCCCATGGGGGCTGCTCTCCCCTCCCCGAGCCATCGGCCGTGTGCAGCCTTGTGGGGCAATAGTTGCAGGTGCGAAATGCAGCTGATTTCCTTACTTCATTTCCTGTGTCTGTGCAGTCCAGGCCTGACCGTTGCATTCAGTGATGCAGAGCTGTTCCCGCCATTGGCATTTTTCAGGCAGGGAGATTGGTGCACTGTGGCCACGCAGCCAGAGAGTGCAAGGGTCAGGTGTGGAGTCCAGCGATCTTGTGGCATTGACTGGGCCAGGTTCATACCCCCTTTGTTCCTTTCTTCCTGAGGCTTCCCGACTGCAGGGTTCTCAAACTGTACTGGCGGGATGCTTCAGTGACGTAATCATCAGGTTTGAAAACAGCTGTGCTGGTTACATCCAACAGTTCAAATCTCGGGGGAACTGGCTTCGATCTCAGCTAGCAACATAAAGAAACTGGGCTGGATCCTGGCTGCTGACAAAAATCTGCCATAATCAGCTCTTTGGGGTGTCCCTCAGCCAGATGCAAATGTAGAGCAGCCGCGAGGGTCTCAGTCACTGGGTTTGCTGCAGGTTACTGTGTGGCTGCGTCAGCCTGGACCTTTAAATAGTGAAGCTGTGTTGGAAGCATGCAGATGATAAATCCACAATGCATTTTGTTAGAGGCAGTTCATTGGTTTGCCCTGATGTAATTATGTAGTGCACTCTATGCCTGATTGTTGGCTGTTGCTCTCCTCCACAGTGGGAGTTGCAGTTCCATGAAGCTTTATGTATATAAAACGAAAGGCGCTATGTAAATGTAAAACATTACTATAGCATACTCTTCTTCAATGGGACACATTCTATTGGGAAAGCTGCTTTATTAGGACATTTCAGAGTGTTAAGCTGGAAAGTGTAAAAGGGCTGTTATTACGCCAGTCTTGGATTTAGGGAGAAGCACAAACTTGATTAAAGCAAATAGATGTGGAGCAACTAAATGCTGCTTCATATAGTTGCTGTGGAGCAGCTAAATGCTGCTTCCAGTGATAGCTGGAAATATTAGGAAGCCATTGCCCAAGGCAATGGGCTATATTACAAGGCCAATCAGAAACGAAGGATACGTCTACACTGCTACTCTACTGTGCAAGCTACAGGGCTGTTAAGCGCCAGTGTAAACTGACTCACAGCGCTGTTAGCTACTCCCCTTGTGAAGGTGGTTTACCTCTCGCGCTGGTCCTACAATTGACAGGTAACTGCTTTTGCTGTTCTATATAGTCTGGATTCTGTAATTTCCATTCCAACTCATCTGCTGAAGTGGATTTTACCCACAGAAGCTCATGATATAATATATGTGTTAGTCTCTGCGCTGCTACAGGCCTGTTTGTTGATTTTAATAGTTAATATATGCATTCTTTGAGAACAACAGATGTTTTTATGGTAGTTGCAAAGTACATTCATTGTTACTCAGAGTTGTTTAGGACAATGCCTCTTAACCTTTCCAGACTACTCCATCCCTGTCAGGAGTCAGGGTTTCCTTGTGTGCCCTCCTCACTTAAAAACTACTTGATTGCAAAACCAGACACAAAAATACCCAAGCTGTCACAGCACTCTTGTACTAAAAAATTGCTTACTGTCACATTTTGTCATATCGAAATCAACTGGAATACAAAGATTGGACTTCCATTGCAGTGTAGAGAGCAGTATAAATAAGGTATTGTGTGTAGGAAATTTTAGATTGGACAGATGTCGCTCATGCTTTTTATGGAGCCTGTTGTAAAACTAGGCAAATATCTAGATATGTTGGTGTACCCCCAGGAAGATCTTTGCACACCCCACGGGTAGGCTTACCCCTGCTTGAAAGCCACTGGTTGAGGATAGTTCTGTTCTGTTCTAGTCAATCCATTGTTCTATTTCAGATTTTATTGCTGTGCTTTTCTGCTGAACACAGTGTGGCCGGGCTGATCTCACGTTGGTATAAAAAGAGCCACCGACAGGGGGTGGGGGGGCAGTTTCCTCAGGGCTCGGCGATGTAAAAGGGCCTAGGCTCCAGGCCCTCTCTGCCGCTACCGTGGCAGCAGCAGCAGCAGGAGCCCCAGGCCTTTTAAATTGCCACGGGAGCCCTGCATGGTGTGATTGGTAGAGGCTAGTCGCTAGCCCCACCCTCTCTTCCTGAGGGCCCACCCCTTCCAGGAGGACTGGGGCCTAACCGCTCTCCCCACGTTGCTCAGGGCCTGTCGAAGACTGTGTCCAGCCCTGAGTATAAATCACCAAACTTTGCTAAAGCCGACTGAGTTATAGTCAGACCCATTGCTGTCAGCCATGTAACTACTTACTGGATGCTCAGGAGCCATTTTCTTTGAGTATTGAAAAGTGATACACTTTACATTTTACTTTCCATTCACTGGTAACACATCAGACAGTGCAGATCTGGCTTTCACATTTTTTATATGTGTTGTGTGCACAAAAATGCATAGGGGTTTGCCTAATTTGCATGAACATTTATCATAATTGTATGTGAAATATGGGGTTTGGTTCAGGCTCGCCTATTGATATGATTTTCTTTTTCAATTAGAAGGAACCAGAGATAGTTAATGAATCTACAGAAGAGGATTTAATTCATTTTAATGTTGGCGGCTGGCATTTCTCTATTCCTAAAAGTAAAATTGCTCAGTTTCCAGAATCTCTTCTTTGGAAAGAGTCTTCTACTCTGGTTCCATCTGAAAACCCGAGATTATTCATTGACAGAGATGGATTCACTTTTAGACACGTCCACTATTATCTGCATACCTCAAAATTGTCCTTTTCCAGCTGTGTTGAATTGAACTTGTTGTATGAACAAGCATTCATTTTGCAGCTGACGCCTTTACTGCAGGTACAGTATGGTGTTATGGTATTACTTTTGTACAGTGTTTGTTCTTTTATAAACAAATTGGGCTTGTTTAGTTCCTAAATAAGAGTGACCATATAAAGATGTTAGCAGATGATACCAAGCTGGGAGGAGTTGCAAGTGCTTTGGAGCAGTGTTTCTCAACCTTTCTTTATAAAGTACTCCCTTTTAAAAAATATCTATCTATCTATCTATCTATCTATCTATCTATCTATCTATCTATCTATCTATCTATCTATCCTAAAGTACCCCCTTTTTCCAAAAAATATAAGTTCTCCCAGTACCTACAGTTTTCAGACACACAAGTTTTTTCTACTATTGCAACAATTTTGTTTAAACAACTTAATTGTAGCCAGGCGGGTGATGAAATTTTTGGATGTAAAAAGTACAAAAATAATAAAGCTCTGTAAAACTTAAAACAAAAATTCCATTTTCTCCAAATTTCAGTTGTATTGACGTACCTCCCAGACTTCTCTCAAGTACCCCTAAGGGGACTCGTACCACTCGTTTAGAAACACTACTTTGGAGGATAGGGTCAAAATTCAAAATGATCTGGACAAACTAGAGAAATGGTCTGCGGTAAACAGGATGAAGTTTAATAAGGACAAATGCAAAGTGCTCCACTTAGGAAGGAACAATCCATTTCTCACACACAGAATAGGCAGCGACTGTCTAGGAAGGAGTTCTGCAGAAAGGGATCTAGGGATCAGAGTAGACCACAAGCTAAATATGAGTCAACAGTGTGATGCTGTTGCCAAAAAAGCAAACACGATTCTGGGCTGCATTAACAGGTGTGTTGTGAACAAGACATGAGTAGTCATTCTTCCGCTCTACGCTGCGCTGATTAGGCCTTAATTGGACTACTGTGTCCAGTGCTGGGCACATTTCAAGAAAGATGTGGAGAAACTGGAGAAGGTCCAGAGAAGAGCAACAAAAATGATGAAAGGTCTAGAAAACATGAGCGATGAGGGAACACTGAAAAAATTGGGCTTGTTTAGTTTAGAAAAGAGAAGACTGAGGGGAGACATGAGAGCAGTTTTCAAGTATCTAAGAGGGCGTTACAATGAGGAGGGAGAAAAATTGTTCTCCTTGGCCTATCATCAGAGGACAAGAAGCAATGGGCTTAAATTGCAGCAAGGGAGGGTTAGGCTGGACATTAGGAAAAACTCCTAACTGTCAGGGTGGTTAAACACTGGAGTAAGTTGCCTTGGGAGGTTGTGGAATCTCCATCCCTGGAGATATTTAAGAGCAGGTTAATCGGACACCTGTCAGGGATGATCTAGATGGTGCTTGGTCCTGCCGTGAGGGCAGGAGACTGGACTCGATGACCTGTTGAGGTCCCTTCCAGTTCTAGGATTCTGTGTTTGGAATGGATGCCTACCAGTCAGTAGGTCCACCCCAGTCTCCAAGCACCTTTGAAGCGTTCCCCTGGAGTGTCCCATCCTTTATCTGTGCATGTTGCATGACAGCTTTTATGCCACAGTAATGATTGCCTGCATTCAGATGGAGGAGCTGACAGAAGTTTATCAGTTGCATCCCTCTTTTGGAAATCCCTGAGTTTCTGTCTTGTAGCCAATCCCTATTCACCGGAAGCAACAACACCGTTCCCGTCACTTGTTGACAGATAATGAATGTGTTGTTCCTAAGATACAGTGGAGGGGCACTTCATATTCAAGTCTGCCTCCATATTTTGTACATGGAATACTTGAGGTTATAATTAATACCATATGAATAGTGAATCTATCAATAATAAATATTTACCAGTATGTGCCTATGCCATGGCTTAGTATCCCAATCAATAGTCAACGCTGTAAGCAATAGTCAGCTTAGGTCAGGGTAGTGGTTAGGGCTAATAATAATTTATATTTTTGAATGTGGAGAATGTACAGAAAAGAGCTGTATCCTAGTGGAGTGTCTTGTTACTTTGTGTGATGCCCAGCAGTACATTTAACTCCTTCACATATCAAAACTGCCTGAAAAGCAGTGAAGTTTACGTAATCTTAAATGCCATCTTTACTCCAAAGCCAACCAAGTAAACAGCATCACGTTACTAGAGGAAGCAGAGAGTCTGATTTTTGAGAGAGATTTTTCCCTGCGTTTCCTGGTAGCACAGTTTCTGAAATTAGGAACATAATCCATACCGAGAACCTCTTTTTTCCTTTCTGTTTGTTTTCATGTTACAAGAGGTAACCTTTTTCTTTTTTCTTAAAGTTCAAAGTTCAGCTTGGTAGACATCACTTTCAGATTCTGCCCATCCAAATTACGAAAGAAATCACATTTCCTAACTTTCCCCCAGAACTGCTTTCTGTTTCATAAACGTCAGCTTGGCTTACTCTAGATTTTAGTCAGGGGAGAGGTCCTAGGAGGTGGCTACAGGCTGCTTTGTTGCATTTTATGTACCCTTTTTCCTGCAGGAAAGGAGGTAGGCCTTCCTCCAAGCCTCTTTCCTTGGTTGTGAGTGAGAGAGCTGCATTTAGTCAGGAGTTCAGGATGCTGGTGCATTCTGGGCTGCGTTAGGATGACTTTTACCGACTCCATTCTATTGGTCACCTCTGTGGAGTAGGATGAGCGCTCTTTGTAAGGGTGCTTAAATGACTGCTTCTTGGAGCAGCTGGTGCAGGAACCCACAAGGGGAGAGGCAATTCTTGATTTAGTCCTGAGTGGAGTGCAGGATCAGGTCCAGGATATAACCGTTACAGGACCGCTTGGGAATAGTGACCATAATATAATAACATTCAACATTCCTGTGGTGGGAAGAACACCTCAGCAGTCCAGCACCCTGGCATTTAATTTCAAAAAGGGGAATTACACAAAAATGAGGAGGTTAGTTAAACAGAAATTAAAAGGCACAGTGACTAGAACCAAATCCCTGAAAGCTGCATGGAAACTTTTTAAAGACACCATAATAGAGGCCCAACTTAAATGTATACCCCAAATTAAAAAACATAGCAAGAGACCTAAAAAAGAGTCACCGTGGCTTAACCACCATGTAAAAGAAGCAGTGAGAGACAAA